CCCATCATGTATTTGTCACTTGAAAGGTATTCCTTTAGGTTCCAGACCTTGACTTTAGATATGGAAAGAGGCTGTGCTGTTCTTGCCTTGAGTGTACTAGCAGTATCCTGTGAGTTGTTGTGGAATTTATTTAATAGCGGTAATAGTGGCATCACATACTTCCTTCACTGACAATGAAATACGGAATGACTTTTAAGTTAGTGGGGTAGAATCTTAAACCCAATGTGATTTTTCTTCAAAATGAGATAGTTGATTTGAGGCTCTTTTCCTCTTGTTCTGTGTACATTTTTGTGCTGTTAATTTCCTTCTCAGAACTGCTTGAGCTTTGCCTTTAGTTTTCATTCAGTTTATGTACTTCTGAATTTCATTTGAGACATACTTTCTGATCCATGTGGGTTATATTGAAACATTTTGTTTTGATTACAAGTATTGTAAAATTATCCTGTTATATTTCTTTGTTGATTCTAGTTTGATTTCATTGTGGTCAGATAACACAGTGTGGTTTCAGTTCTTTTACATTTTTGACAGTTATCTTTTGGAGTGTGTGTGTGTCCAAGATAAGATAAATGTTCCTATCATTGGTGGGCATTTGAAAAAAAAAAAAAGTTGTATTCAGTTGCACAATGCAGAATTGACTAATACAGAATTGCGTAAGTCAGTTTGCACTACCATAACAAAGTATTGGCTAGCTTAAATAGCAGGAAATAAGTTCACATAATCTGGAGTCTGAGAAGTCCAGTGAAGTTTCTCTGGTGAGAAGTCACTTCCTGATTTATAGATGACTGCCTTCTTGCTAGGTCCTTAGATGTCAGGGAGGGAGAAAAAGCAACCTTTCTGGTATCTTTGCTTATAAAGCACTAAATCTATCATATGGTCCAGTCCTCATGGGCTAATCTAAATCATATTGTCTTTCCTAAAAGCCATCTCCAAATATGTCATATTGGGGCTTAGATTTTGGAGATATACAATTTAGTCCATAGCAAGAATTTTTTTTTTTAATACTGTTTATCAGACAACTATAAATCAGAGAAATTCTTAGGGGAGGGGGCAGGAAAGGGATCAAAATGAAGGTGAGAAGAGCCCAAGGGACCATGGTGATGGTACACAGGTGAATTGGTGTTGGAAGTTCTGTGAAAACTACACCTAAGAAAGAAAACATTGTAAGAAAAAATTAGATTGAAAAAATAACATGGCCCTCCCTGGTGGCGCAGCGGGTTAAAGCACAGCACTGAGAATCTGAGGCCACTTCCGCATGAGTTCGATTCCTGCCTGCCGCCTGCCCCGGAGGAGACCACATGGCGAGCCAGACCTCTCCTGGCCCGCCCGCTGCTCCCCTCAGCAGTGTACTTCGTAGATCTGCCTGTTCTGCTCCCCACTCTGTCTCTGGTGAAGCCTCTCACCGCCCCTGAGTCTCTGGCCTGTACCCCAGTTCTGTATGCACAAATAAAAATAAATAAATCTTAAAAAAAAAAAATAACAAATAAATATACTAAAATAGCATAAAATATATATTTTTATAGTTTGTTGTTTGATGGTGTTTAATTCTACTATATTCTTACTAATTTTCTACTTGCTCTACTAGTTATCAACAGAGGATATTAAAGTCTCCTGTAATAAATGTAGATTTGACTTTGTCATTTCAGTTATATCAGTTTTGCTTAATATATTTTGTAGCTGTCATTTGGTGCATATACATTGAAGATTGCTAAATCTTCTTGGCAAATTGACTTATATCATTGTGTAATATCTCTTTCTGTCTCCAGTAATTTTCTTTGCTCTGAAGCCTACTTTATCTGATATTAATAATAGTTGCTACAGTTTTCTTTTGATTAATGTTTGCTTGATCTCTTTACTTTTAATCTTCTTCCATTGTCATATTTGATATGAGTTTCTTATAGGCAGTATATAATTGGATAATTTTATAGATCATTAATCAACTAATTTCTTTTAGTTGAGGTATTTAGACCTTTACATTTTATTTTATATATGTGTGTTTATTCTTTTCATTTTTCAGTTTTCTTCTTCCTACCTTCCTATGTATTTTTAAAATTCTTTAGAATTCCATTTTATTTTCCCATGGTGGTTTTGAATATATTGTTTTGTATACCTTTTTAGTAATTTTCTGTATATTACATTATATATACATAATAACTCAGTGTATTGATGTTCCCATTTTTCCAATTGGAAGTAAAATTGAGTCATCTTGTCTCCATTTATATCTTAGTTCCTGCCCCATTTATAATACAGTGATTTTAAATATTTTCTCTACACACAAGTAGAACCACAATAATTTGCTGTAACTGCTAAATATAACTTATAAAATTCAAAAGAAGAAAAGCCTGTTGTATATACCCATATTTTTTCTTAGCATATTGTTTCTTCATTTTTTGATTATTCTAACACTGCTTGCTTGCTTTCTCTCTTCCCATCTCTTCCCTTCTTTTCCTTTCCTTTCTGTTTAAAGAACATCCTTTAACTATTCTTTTTGGATAGATTTGCTGCTGACAGATGTCTTTAAAATATATATATATATATATATATGAGATCCAAAATTAGACAAATAGGTTGATACAGGATGTATTTCCTATTATAAGATTCTGAATTAACAGGTTTTTTTCTTTCAAGACTAAAAATTCTTGTGCCATAATCTTTTACCCTCTGTGGTTCTTGATAATCATTTCACTGTCACTCAGTCCATTTTTTGAGGAATTTTACTGTGACTGCTTTAAAAATCTTAGATAATTCTAACTTCTCTTTCATCTCAGTTTTATCATCTATGGATTGTCTTTTCATACAAGTTGAGGTCTTACTGGTTTTAGTTATGATGAGATTTTTGATTGACACATGGATATTATGAATATTACATTCTAAGACCATTGATCTTATCTTAACATTCTATTTTCAGTGTAACTGTTTTGATATCTCTCTGGCAGGGGAAGGAGGTAGATTTATCACCCCATTACTGCCAAATGGAAATGTCAGACCAGGTTTTTTTGAGTGTTCAAGACAAAGACTCCTCATTACTGTTTGGGCTGGGTGGGATGTCTGATGTCCCACTAGGCCTCTATTGAGACCTCCTTGTCTGGAAACATCAGAATCCTTCACTTCTGATTCTTAGTTTGCCTCTATAGCTACGTGACTTCTTTATAGCTGGCCTTTATAGTCGTGACCTCTGTTGGACATCCTCGATGCTATCCCAGCAGGAAGGTGATATTCACCAGCAGAAAGGTAATGTTCAACTTAGTACTGAAGGGTTTATTGTGGAGTAATGACTCTGTCTGTGGTATCTGTTGACACTGAGGTGTGTGTGAGGGAGGAGACCATCCATCAGTAATGGATGATATGACTTCCTCCTTGGAGTTCTTTGGCACCATCGTTGCTGAAAGGGTTGGCAGTTGGGCATGATTCTTCCTTATAGACTTGTAAATATAGATGTCTAGGTTTCCCACTCACCATGCACAGGAGAAGAATGGAGGTGGCCACATTTTTTTCAGAATGAGTACTATCTAGAAGTCTTCTGTGTTTTTAGATTGCCCTTTTCCTGGTCCTTTTGCTAGAGATTGCAGGATATTTTTGTATGCACCTGCTGACATCTGCTTATTAGCTTTTTCAGCTCTACATATGGTAGATGGAGGGAACAAGGAAACTTAACCTCATGTTGTTCTGAGACTGCTGAGGTTCTTGACCAGTTTGCTTTTCATCTCTCCAAGCCTTTTTGTATGAGGGATGGGGAAACTTATGTCTATTCCACTTTCCTATTCATGTATTTTACAGTAAGTTTCTGACCTATTTACTATTCTATAATAAAAATAATGCTTACTTGGTAACGTTTCATGTAAGTAACATTAGAAAAATATAGATCATGATCCCTTGAGTAGCTTGTATCTGTGAATATAAGATTCCAAGCACCTGGAAGACTTACATACTAGCTTTTGGGCCCCAGTCTCAGAAAAAAATGAGAACTGGAATCTTTAGCAAGTGCCTAGGTAATTCTGCTGCTATGAGAACCAAATATTGATAATCACTGTTTTAGAGAAATGCTAAAATGATGATCGGTATTTAATTTAATAAATTGATTTTTAAATATTTACTTATACATACAGACCTGGGTTACAGGCCAGAGGTGCAGTGGCGGTGAGAGGATCCACCAGAGACAGAGTGGGGAGCCGAATAGGCCGACTGATGAAAAACACTGCTGAGGGGAACAATGGTCTTGTCAGGAGAGGTCTGCCGCACCATGTGGGTCACCTCTGGAGTGGGGATTGAACTTATGCTGAAGTGGCTTTAGCTTTTTAATGCTGTGCTTTAACCCAGTGCGCCACCAGGGAGGGCTGACATTTATGCTTTTAATCTATTTTGGGTCTTCTCAGTTTCCAATCCATTTGTATGTGGCATTTGAAAGGTCAAAGAAATACACATTTTATTACAAAGAGAAGATATATGAAAATATGAGCAGTATGGTGATCAGTTATTCAGTGATAATCCCTATAAAACAATCCCTATTTGATTGGGCCCCAAGCAAAGAGCATTTTAAGTGTTATGTTTAACTGTGTGTGTTCTACGGTAAATGTATGACAAGCAAGATCTTTTCAAAGTTTCTAAATTGACATCAGGAAAGCTCTGTTATACTGCTCTGAACTGATGGTAGTTATCCCTGAGTGTGTCATCGTAATACACCTTCCCCTAAAGTTCATCTTTCCTTTTTCTTCAGCTAATGAGTACAAATGATACTGGAAATAAAACTCCTTCCATCAATAGTAAAGCCATTTGTTTAGATCAAGGTGAACTTAGAAATATTTTCCCCAGAAGATCACTAGCTATAAAAAAGAAAAATTAAAATAGTGAAATGTCAGATTGAAGTCTCTTAGACATTATTCTTCTTACAAAAGTTGTTATAAGTGTTAATAAAGAATCTTGCTCGTTAATATACATCAGGTAATGGTTCTTATTTTGTAGCCAGATATATTAGTTTTATAAAGTATTTCCTTTTTCTCTTTTAGCTCTGTTGGCCTAGCAAAAGCAGCTTTAGAAGCAATTAATGGATTCAACCTCTTTGGCAACCAGGTAAAAAAGCAATAGCAATTGTTTTTTTTGAATTGTGTGTTTTATTCATTCACCAATTTATTCTTTATGATCATAGGATGTCTAAAACTTATATCATAGCCCATTGTGAACTGTCTTTCCCTTAACTATAACTTGGCAGTTAAATTTTAGTTTTCCTACTAAAACTTGTTAAATTTAAAACAAAAATTGTCAATAAAGAATTCTCTTTTCTTTGTTTGATAGCTTTCCCTTACAGTCTCTTGTTGGCTGTCATACTTTTAAATATTCTTCCCACTATGTGCCTCACATTAGCCATATTATTTCTCATGTTGGTTTCAGCTTTATGACTGTCTCATACAAAGGAGGAACTTGTGTGAGGAACTTGTGTAACATGTACAGACAAAGAATTGGAACCCTCAATTGGCTTTAGTCATATGTCTAAATCTCATTTTCTTCAGAATAAGAGGGAATACCTTAACGGTTGCCTTAAATTTTCATATGATCTTTAACCAGTTTCTGCTTCTAATCAAATGATTGTGATTGAATTGTCAAGGGAAGAGAATAAGACATTTGAGTACAGGTTACTTTCTGGATCAAGAAACAGGCTAATTTCTATAGAAATTTTTACAAATATTTCTGTCATAGAGAGGGCAAAAGAAATGTCCAACTACATTAAAATTAATCCTTAGCTATTAATATGCTAAGTTGCTAAAGATAACGTAGGAAATTATGCAGTCATGTACAATGTGACAAGGTTTTTGTTATGGCAATTACAGTACTACAAGCCAAATATAAAAATAAGTGTCTCAAGTCTTAAATTTTAAAGAGTTTCAAGTTAGAATATGGTAGTACAGCTCCTCTCTTCCTCTCTCTACATATACGAACTCTGTTTTTATGCTTCCACTTCCACTGGGTGATGGACTCTGGCCAACTCCAGCATTTGAAGATTTAAGGATGACCATAGACTTGAAAGGATTGGGATAAGGGAGCATACTTCATTCTGGGTGCCCAACAGGTGAACAATTTTTGGAGCCAGAAAGATCTTTCTCTCAAAATGAATGGTCAGAGATGACGTGACTTCCATGGGTCATACAGTGGAGATGCAGAACCAGAATTAACCAAAGCCAGTCCTTAATGAACCTGGAAGATCGACTGTCAGTGTAGGATACTTTGGGCTTTGAATGCTTCCTACTCTTAGAGGTAGATTGTGTTCTGTGAGAATGCCTAAGCTATGTTCTTCTTAGTTTTAAATTTCATTTATTTTTTGTTTAGCTATAATCGGTATATAACATTAAACTTCAGGTGTATGATATAGTGATTCGATATTTGTATATAATGAAAAATGGTCACCACATAAGTCTAGTTACCTTGCTTCACTGTACCTAGTTAAACCTTTTTTTCTTGGGATGAAAACTTTTAGTATCTACTCATTTAGCAACTTTTAAATATACAATGCAGTGTTTCAAGCTGTAGTTTTCGTGCTTTATATTTTATTCCCAAGACTTATTTTATAACAGGAATGTACTGTTCAAAAGCTCTAAATTAATTTAAGACACGCATATAAGAACATTGTATGAACAGTGTTCTAGAAATAACTGATAAGACCCATTTGATCTAAAATTACAAGTCTTCAGGAGGTTAACTTGGGCTTTCATCTCAATAAGAGCATTTTGTTGTTTTGTCAGTTAATTTCCCAGTCACTGACTTGTAATTAGACCGCTGTTCTTAAATGTACATGAGGTGATATTAGATTAACTACTAAGATCACATGTGCAATATGCTTCTGTTTAGCAGATAAATTTCTAAGGTTTAAAATTTACCTGTTAAAAGATGGAAATTTTATCATTTTCAAAGTCAGGTTTCTGTAATTCTTCACATCAAAAACAAAGATAAAGGGTATTTGTGCAACTAGGACCATCTCTGATATTATCCTGTGAAAACTCAAGATGGAGAAGCTCATCTTACAATATGTGACATTTGCTTGGCTAAAGGAATAAAATGTTATTTGTTCATATTTCTATCTGAAATAATCAAGGACTAGGCAACTCAGGAAATATTTAGTACATAGCTCTCCCAGAAACAGAAATGAGCTAAATAAATAAGGTCAAAAATTAACTCTGCTTAGAACAGTTGTTTTTTACCTTGGCTGCACATGAAAATTTCTGGGTGGGTTAGAAAAATCTGAATGCCAAGGACTCCCTTACATCAACTAAATAGGAATCTCTAGAGGTATAATCAGTTATCAGTTTTGTTTTTAAGTTCCTCAAGTTATTCCAGTATGTAACCAAGACTGAGAAATTACAACTGGAGAACAATGCTGGCAGTGTCTTAATAACCCAGACTCAGAGTGCAGAATAAAGTAATTCAATGCTTTTAAAATTACGGTTAAAAGATCAATGAAAGCTTTCTGAGAAAAGTAGAGTGAAGACAGAATTTTGAACAGTGGGTAGTAAGGAAAGGAACTTTGCATGTGTGTGGGCTGCATATGTAGGTGTATGTAGCTGAGGGGTGGATACTAATATGGAGGCAGCATATCCTAAAATGCACGTATGTCAGAGGAGACGGCGCTATTGCAGACAGCCTAATTAACACATGTAACAGCTGAACTAGACAAGCAGCACCATTAGGCTCACTATTTGGGATGCCATGAGAGGCAGAAAACAGGCTTATGCATGGCAGTGTACGACTGTGAGCCCAGTGACTTTCTGGGATGAAAGAATAATGATGACAATAAACCTCTGATGTTAGCAGGGGGAAAAAAGGAACTTGGGGCACTTAGGAAGAAGGTGAGGACTGTAGCTAGGATTTGAAGTTGGGCAGTTGGTGGGAAAGCAAGTAGGATGGTTGGAACAAGGCAGCACAGAAATGAATGAGTTTGAGATGTTGGAAACTTGTGAATAAGCAAATAATGGGACTTATTTATCCTTAGGCTGGTAATTAATAAAGTTAATTGAATGCTGCATCAGTCTGCTGTGAACTAAATTTTTAAATGATAAAATCTAAATAGAATAATATATCAATAATGAAGTGAAATGGAAAATTTGGAAATTCTTGCCTTAATTTGATTAATATAAACATCCAACTTCTATTTTCTGACCATAAATAAATGACTTATATATCTAAATTCATCAAAACATTTGTTCAGTCTCTTCCCGGCCAGCCTCTAAAAAATATGTGCAACGGGGAAAAATTATTTCATCATACTGCTGTGTTTTAACACTGAGATCAAAACTAGCTATCTATGTATTGGTTGGCTTTTCTAAATAAAAAATATACCATGCTTTTGGCTTATGGCTTGGATTTATAGAAGGATAAAACCCAACATGTTGGGTAGCCGTTATTCCTACTCAGAACTTAATTTGTTTTTAAGTCATCAAGGAGAACCTACATATGGATTTAATTATCACCCTTTTTAAATTATCAGACATTGATTTTTAGCCCTGCAGTTTTCAAAGGAAGCTCAGTATATCTGTATAGCCTGAATACTTTGCATACCATGAGAAATCTTTCTTGTCACCACCTTTAGAGTCTGTCTGGCCTTAGCTCATTTGTCATTATGCTGATTTCTTCAATTAAAGACAGGAACATGAAAGGAAGTTCTATATGTATATGTTACTACAGAGTAGCTGATTAAACTCTTCTGTAATAGCCTCTTTCCATGTGAAGAACCTATTTTAAGACTGGCAGCCAAACTGACTCCTAAAACAGAGTTTCTGTGATTGTAGTCTAGTAAATATGCTAGAAGATGATTCTGTCTAGCCACTGTCACAGGGACTTTAAGTTTCACTGATGACATATTGCTGCACTGAACCATCTGTCCCAGTCTCCATGATCACAGCAAACACTTTTGAGATGGTTCAAAGTATTTTAGTTTCAGGGTGAATACATCTTTGAAGTTGATGAAATTTGGGGTGATTAAGAAGGTAATATTGAAGCAGTCTGAAATTTGTGATTGTCATCTTCTTCCTTTCCTGTGTACTTTTCTGAGTATTGTCTTGTGATGGGAACAGGCTTTGGAATATAATTTCATTCTCTGCATTTAACTCCCAAGTAAAGACTAAAACCACGTATATTTATGAGTGCTTTTAAATATGGAAAGCTGTAATGGCTAAATAATGAAAAGTTTTTAACTTGTTTAACAGACAAATTGACTTTTTTTTTAAACACCTGTCCTTTTGTTCAAGTTTTTGATTCTTGAAATATTTTTCAGTATGTAAAACTATGTAACTAATGTTTATATAACGATTAAGGTTTGGGTGTCTGTGTCCAAAATTGTTTTTGAACCCTTGCTTGTTAAACTAAGGTTTAGAATTCTTTTCATAAAGTTAGGATAATAATATCAATATTAATATATGGGATTAAATGAGAATCCTGAAGCATAAAGCACACCATAAATTTTTTGTATTGTTATTACTTGAGGTTCTTCTGTCTTCCTATTTTAATCAAGTAGTTTTTTTTTACTCCATAATCCTGATTTATATCTTAATTTATTTAGCTTGATCATATAATCACTGTTCTTTACTAGGTTCATACAATTTAGAATTAGTGAATTAGTTTATTCTTGTTTAATCTTTGTGAAAATGTTAGATACATCATTTGTATATTCTTTTAAAATAAGTATTCTTATCTTGTAATCAATGCAAAGAAGAAATAAGGAAAATGTGAAAATTATATTTTTGTGATTATAAAATTGATGTTTATTGCAAGAAGTTTGAGAAATACTGAAAATTTAAATCTTCTGTAATGCTGCTCTCACAGGCAACCAATGTACTTTTAAGAAATGTTTCCAGTCAAAATGCCTGATATCCTGCCAGCTCTTTTTTCTTAATTTAGAATGTGTTTTTCTCTTTCTCATTCCAGGGCTGTTCCTGGTCAGTGATATTTGTGGATCTCGATGCTCACAATCGCAATAGGCAGACATTGTGTTCATTGTTACCCAGGGAATCCAGATCCCATGTGAGATATATATATATGTATATATATATTTATATCTTGGCACATTATTTTATTCACATGTTTTAAACAAAAAACAAGCTTTACTTTCCCTTTTTTTATTCTTTGGCTTTAGTATCCCTCAGACATCTAAGCACTATTCATCCATGGTAGAGGTGGGGCTTTCTTATTACAGGCTCTTATGTATATATGCCTTTTCTCCATTTGCATTGATTGATACCAGACTTTAGCCTCACTCTGCTTTTAATTATTACCTACACTTGCATACTTTTCAATAAAAAAATTTGCTTCGTAAGTAAAAAGTTAAATTTTAATTAACAAGTTTGTAAATGGATAGATTAATCTTATGCTTTACATAAGATCATATCAAAATTTGCTCTTAACTTCAAAAATGCATTAGTTTTCTACATGCACAATTTAAAGAGAATTGATAGTAATTTTACAGAGTAGAGCTAAATATATAAATACATGTTTGCTTACTTTTAACTTCCATTTGGTTGCTCTGATTCACTGAGGGAAAAAAGAGTTGAATATTGCTGTTAGAAAGGTAAATCTTAAGATAGCAATTTGGTATCTTGTCTTTACAGGACATTCTTTTCTAAAGAATTGTAGGACTGGATATAACACATTATCCTTTTAGTTAGAATAAAATATATAGCAAAACTGTGGAATATTAATAGTTGCCCGATCAAACCCCTTGCCTTCAAGACTCCATGCAAAAGAGAGATTTTTCTTTCTGCAAATCTAATCAGAGATACTATTTATTGGCTTCCCTTTTCAAAGCATTCCAGGCAGGAAGTTTTTTTCCTAAGGTATTTTCATTCCCTATAAGGTACATAAAACTAAGATTATTGTTCTCATTTTATAAATGACAAACTAAAAAAACAAAGGAAATTTATTTAAATGAATTTGTCTAGGATTTTTCATAGCTAATAAGTAACTAGAATCCACATCTAAGTTTGCTATCCAATGTGCTTAGCTTGTTAGTGTTTCCTCTTTTCAATTATAAGGCATGGCTCTCAGAATTCATTTTCATTTTTATCCCAGATATTTAAGCATTTAATTAGAATTCCTCTTATTCTGTGATTGCCTTTAAGTTATATTACTGACAGTCTAGATGAGAATGAAATTAGATTACTTCCCCCATGTGAGATAGTTTTATAACAAGTCGGTATGATCTGTTACGTTGTTTACTTTTCCAAGAAAGTCCTCTAAAATGCTAGAAGTTGCCAAAAAGATGAGAAGACCATTGCCCCACACTTCCCTGGCCTTGGAGGTCTTATTCAGGAAGTGAGCAGAGCTGTGGACAAAGCTGCTTTGTCCTTTGAGCTTTTTGTGGAGCAATAGTACTTACATATATGCATATGACTGACATATATATGTAGATTTCTATCTGGTGGTTAACAGCCAAAATTTTTTTAGAAAACGCATTTTCATAATTTATATTTCTTTAGAGTAAAATTACTTGGCATGTTTCTTTTCAATTAACCTTTTTCCTTTATCTGACAAAATTTAATATACCTAATTATAGTTTTCTAGGGGTTATCTGTGACTTTATTCTTAGAAAGCACCCAAAATAGAATCATTTAATTATTAAAAAAATAATAGTTTTATAGAAGTCATGCCAGATTATTATAAATGAATAATAAAATCCACAAATAAATAATAATATAATGTCCATGCATTATTCTGCCACTCAGCTACAATCTTAAAGTGACAGCATTTGAGTTTATAGGTTTTCACATAAAATTTTGGTGTGTTCATGTAACATTTTTATTTTACAAAACTGGAAAGTTACTGTTTCTTTTGCTTTAACAACTTAGTTCTATGAATGAATGTATTCATATATCAGTAAATATTTCTACAATATATATTTTCATAACTACAGATTTGTTCATGAAATAGATTGTGTTCTGTTTTTCACTGTTACAAACAAATTGTTAGGAAAAGCTCAGTTAAAGTAACTAATTTTTCGTCATAAATTTTACATATTGCCTTAATTTTGAAGTTTAGGTGCAGCATGAACCTTGAAATACTCCTTGTTAATGAAGAAAGTATTTGTGCATCTTTAGCTCCACTAAACTGTGTCATAGAAACACCCATGTGCCCGGCCACTGTCAGAGACCCTTGCTCAGTCTTTGTCTCTGGAATCTTCTCAAGTGTGTCGGGCCTATAGGTGTAGGTCCTAATGTTGCCTTTTTTTTTCTTACTGCACCAGAACACGGACGCTGCCCTGCTGCCCTGCATCAGTTACCCTGCGTTTGCCCTGGATGATGAAGCGCTGTTTAGCCAGACACTTGACAAAGTGGTTAGAAAATTGAAAGGAAAATACGGATTTAAGCGATTCTTGAGAGATGGATATAGAACGTCATTGGAAGATCCTAACAGACGTTACTACAAACCAGCTGAAATTAAGGTATCAAAAAATATCCCCTGTGCATAGCAGGTGGTCAGGAGCAAGAGGCAAGCTTCTTGTCTTTGAATTCTTGTTCTGTCATGGCCTTGGGCAAATTAATTAACATCTCTGTGTTTAATATTCCTCATTGGTAAAATAATTGTACTACTGAATATTATTGGTCCCCTTATTGAGGATTTTATAACCTAATGTACGTAAATGGCGCTTGGCATCTAGTTAGCACTCAGTGTGTTTAGCTCTTACTACCAGTGAGGTAGGTTCATTTGCTCTTATTAGGACATGTTGATTCACTCAATGATCATTTGTCTTTCATTTTTTTTTACTTTTCTTTTACATTTGACACAATGAGAGGCTCATTAGGAAAGGGAAAAAGGAAAAGAGCGGCACTTACATTGTTACAGGGAGGCAGAAGAGCCCTGATCATTTTTCTATTGCGCTTCAGTACTTTGCCAGCTTGCTCTATACGATTTGTCATATATAAGAGAAAAATGTTTATTTGTGGTCCAGCATTCAGTATATTAAGCAAGTACATTTTCTGTTTCACTTAAACTCTTCATTCTGAAGTTTAGTCCTCTATTTTTTAAATATTTTTTATTTCAAATACCAATATACCAAGCTTTATAATACCTGCTTATAAACTTTTCTGTAATGCTTAAAAAAAGGTAAGTGAGCATCCCATTGCTGAAGACTTTGCTGTAGTGGAGTAGATTAGAAATTATCTTTTTATGCATAGTCATATGCATGTGCATATGCACAGTGCTCACTGAAGATAGGTAACGTCCCATAATCTATCTCTATAAAAATGTTCTCAGCAACATTATACTTTGTAATTTGTCAGTTACATACATTTAGTTTGCAAGACAATTAGATAAGCTGTCAATGTATTTAATGCCACAACTGCCATCTGGGCGCACAAGGAGCCATTTTGTTGTGTACCTTTTAAAAACTTTCAGCAGTGTTAGTTTGAAACAAGAGATACATTTCTCTCTTTAATACTGTTTTCTTTCCTATATAATACAATTCCTGTGTCAGTTGGCAGCATTTACATTTGAATTGAGTCCCTTGTAACTCTTACCCTGCACACTTTCCACTTTGGATGCATTTAGCAGCAGTGCTACTGCTAAGCATCACCAAGGAAAGTGGATGGACGATCGTCAGTTGGCATCATGTGGCGGCTGTTTTTGCTTCGTCCTCATCATTGCTTCACTGCTTTCTGCCATCGAATGTACTTGCTTCACTGCATCTCTCGTCTTATTTCTTTTTGTCTTACAAGTAAAATCGTTCATTGTTTTTCTCCATCTGGCTTATTTCACTGCGCCTAATATCTTCTAGGTCCATCCATGGTACAGTAGGTACTTTTCTGACCCTGTTTCACTAAAACTCTCCTTGGCAATTGAGCATCTTAACTGAGTTCTCTTTTCTGGAATACTTTCTATGTTATGTCACCTTATGCTCTTCCTAATTCTCCTTCAATCACTGTCTTAGTTTCTTGTAAGGTCTTCTACTTCCTCTTACATTTAGACCTTCTACTGACTTCCATCCTCAGTTCTAATCCCTGTTATCCATGCAGTCATAGCATTGGCTATCACCTAGCTCGTATTTCTCCCCCTGAGTGCCTTACCAGGTATTCAGCTGCCTTCATGATGCCTTACAGCCTTCCACAAGGTACCCTACACCTTCACTTGGATGCCCTACAGCCTATTTCTTCTGTCCAGTATTGGAAATTAACCCCTTATTTGGTGTATGGTTTACAAAAGTCTCATATTAGTCCTCCAAATCTGAGACTCATTCTAAGTTCTTCCTCTTCATTTATCCCTCTTTGTCATTCCCCAAGGCTGATACTTTGTCATTCCCCAAGGCTGACAGATTTAACCTTTAAATCTTACGTCTGTCCCTATCTCTTAACTCCTTGGTTTAGGCTAGTGCTTGAAAACCAGGAACAGGTTTGCTCTCCAGGAGTATTGGCAATATCCACAGACATTTATCATTCTCACAACTTGGCATGTATTACTGGCATCAAGGAGGTAGAGACCAGGGATGCTACTAAACATTCTACAATGGAGAATTATTTGAGCTAAAATTTCAAAAGTGATGAAGGTGATAAATCTGTTTGTTTGCTATCTTTAATCTTTGGATCACTTCCAGCAGTCTTCCACTTGGTCCCCTTTTTTCCCGTCCAACAACTCTCATTAATACTAACAAGTAAATACAACAAGTAGATCTGATCCTTTCAGTATCCAGCAGTGGTTCTCTTCACCTACAGATCAAAGTCTCAGTCTTTTAGCATGACTTCTTAGGCCCTTTCTGGTCTTGCTGGCCTGGCCCACCTGCTGACCTTCAGATCTTACTACTTCTCCCTTCCTCATTTCAGAAATCCTGAAATGCTGATAATTTCTTTAACAAACTTTGTACTGTCATGCATACATAGTTTGTATTGTTGTCTTGTCTTTGTGAAGTTCCCTTAGTTCCCTTAGTTGAGAAATCCATCAAACATTACTTAAAGCATCTACTTCCCTATAAATGCTTCCTTGCCTCCAGACTCAGTTCCATTCCTGATGTCCCTGGTTTTCCCCATATAGACAGCTCATAATATGTGGCAGTGGTTTATTTACATGTCTGGCTCCCCAATAGTCCCTGAGCCCTTGAGAGCAGATTCTCTACCTTTTTGTCTTCAGAGCGCTCTGTCTAGTTGGTGTCAGTCATTACTAAGTACTTAGTAAATATTTATTGATTGCTGTGTGATGGATTAAATGAATGTGCTTTTTTTTTTTGATAAGAGCTGTCAGGATCTTAAAGAATAATTAAACTTATAATATCTGTCCAACATTGTTATTATAAATATTTTATGTATGTCCTAAATATAATTGTTCTAATTAATAATTGTGAGTTTTTTAATCATTTATTTTCTATTTTAGCTATTTGATGGCATTGAATGTGAATTTCCCATATTTTTCCTTTACATGATGATCGATGGTAAGTGGAATTTTCCCCTGAAACTTAAATTATAGAATATAAATTGTTTAAGGAAGAGCAAAAAAATATCTATGACTTCTTTAGTGATGTTAACTGCTCTGTATTTTTACATTCTCTTCTGTTCTGAGAGTGAATGTTATATCATTTAAAGACTTACAAAATGTTTTAAGTATTTTTAAAAATGATACAAATATATTTTCATATTTATAAAGAAAAGTTTTAATGAAATCATCTGGTATTTTTCTTTATTTTTCGGTCTTATTTCACTAAGCATGATCCCTTCCAGCTCCATCAGAAATCATGACTACTATATTCTGTGACATTATAAATATCTGCTAACATTTCTACTTAAGAATAGAGAACTATGGCCCTCCCTGGTGGTGCAGCGGGTTAAAGCACAGCACTGAGAAGCTAAAGCCACTTCCACATGAGTTCGATTCCCGCCTGCCCTGGAGGTGACCACATGGCGTGGCAGACCTCTCCTGACCCACTTGCTGCTCCCCTCAGCAGTGTACTTCGTTGATCTGCCTGTTCTGCTCCCCACTCTGTCTCTGATGAAGCCTCTCACCGCCCCTGAGCCTCTGGCCTATACCCCAGTTCTGTATGCACAAATAAATAAATCTTTAAAAAAAAAAAAGAAGAGAATTATTAATTAAAATTCAGTTTTCAATTATAAATACTAACATGACTTTTTTTTTCTATCTTACCTGTAATCCCTGTGGGCTTCCTATCACCAAGTCACCCGTGTGCCATCACCATAGTCCAGTGCACTTCCTCCCTCCACTGTTTCTGATCCCATTCCTCATTCCATCCCCACAAAATATCTCTGATATCTTTGGTATGTGATTGTTCATTATTATCCTGGTCCTTTATACTCCTGCTATGAGTGAAGTCTTCTGGTATTTTTCTTTTTCTTTTCTGGCTTATTTCACTAAGCCTGATCTTTTCCAGCTCTATCCATGTTGTTGCAAAAGACATGTGTTTATTTTTTATTTTTTTGGTTGCAGAGTAATATTCCATTATGTATATGTACCGCATCTTTTTAATCCAGTCATCTACTTTTGGGCATTTGGGGTTGATTCCATGTCTTTCCAACTGTAAATTAAAGCAGCAATAAACATGGGGGTGCAGGTGTCTTTTTGAATTAGTATTTTTGTATCTTTTGGGTAGATACCTAGGAGTGGGATTGCTGGCTCATAGGGAAATGCAGTTTGAGAAACCTCCAAACAGTTTTCCATAGTGGTTGTACTAGTTTGCATTCCCACCAGCAGTGCAGGAAAGTTCCTTTTTCTCCACATCCTTGCCAACATTTGTTGTTGCTAGTTGTTTGACGATGTGCCATTCTCACTGGGGTGAAGTGGTATGTCATTGTGGTTTGAATTTGCATCTCCCTTATTACAAGTGATGGTTTGAATTTGCATCTCCCTTATTACAAGTGATGTTGAACATTTTTTCATATGCTTGTTGGCCATCTGCATTTCCTCTTTGGAGAAGTGTCTTTTTAGCTCTTCTGCCCATTTTTTGATGGGGTTGTTTATTTTTGTTGGGTTTCATCAGTTCTCTGTAAATTTTTGTGATCAATCCTTTGTTGCTAGTTTTGTGTGAGAAAAATTTTTCCCAGTCAGTGGGATGTCTGTTTTTTTGTAATGTCTCTTTTGCTGTACAGAAGCTCTTTAACTTGATGTAGTCCCATTTGTTTATCCTTTCCTTCACTATCGTTGCATTGGTGCTGTATCTTCAACGATGTTACTGAAGTATATGTTGTAACATGACCTTTTTGTTGGAGATCAGCTCCAACTATTGAGGTGTCTGGAGGCAACAAAGGCAGGACCTTAAGATGGGAAGGTGTCGGCAAGTGGAGATTCCAAAAGGGGAGAGAGGAGCGGGCGCGAGGAAGACACGGGAGTCAGGGTTGGGTGCAAGTCTTCCTGCCATTCCTTCAGCAGGTCTTTATTTATACTGTGTAGCAAGTAGTTAATTGTAATAATGCATAGGGTGAATTAATGAGATATCACCATAAAACGTTCTCAAGGACAAAGGAAAAAAGCATTCTTCTCTTAACAAATTATGGTATACTAGATTATATGTTTTTGTGATAATTGTCATGTGTACAGCTGTCTAGTTATCACTCAAAGGAAGAGGGGTCTGGGAAAGGGGAAGCTTGTTAGCAAAAGGTTGTTAGGGGTCTTAGAGTAGTAATAAATTGTGTTTGCAGTATTAGCAGTGATTGTCTAAAGAAAAGCTAGTGGCTAATTTAAGGCTAGCAGAGAGTAGTTAGTGCTTTTTTTAAAAGGAGTAAATTAAGAGAAAGTTGTACAGTTGTGTATCAAACAAACAACCTTGTGTAGTCAAGGTTGAAATTTGTCCATGAGTCCTTATGCCCTGGGAGCCTTATCTGAGGTTTGCTTTTTTATTCAAAGAAACCAAGGAAGCTTCCCAGGGGTTTTTATGTCCTGGGGTCTTATTTCTCCTGGGGCTTGCCTTTTGTCTCAGGAGACAGAGCAATTTCTCGCCCTGGGGCAGCTTGCCTGAACCAGGTAAGAATCCAGTTGTAAACTGATGGTTGCTCAGAATATTTTGATATTATGATTATACAAAAAAGGGAGGTCATAACATAAGTTAGCAGCGGAAAGTCTGATTTTTCAGAGCTTTTCCCGATCTACCCAGAACCTGTCAGACGATAGACGTTGCATAGCTTGTGTCACCTTTAACTAGATAAATTAGTTGTTACATTTTGTAAATTTAAATGATATAACTTGTTTTGATGCATCTATATTGTAATATGATTGCCATTAAAACAGTACCACATTGTATCATTATAGCGTAATAAATTAACTATGTATTTATTATACAATGTACTGTATATTGGATTCCCATGACTTACTACTTTTCATTATATCAAACCCCATTCCCTTATAACTACCATTTTACTGTCTTTTTTTTTTTTTAAGATAAGCTTGACTTTTAAAAATTCCACATATAAATGATATAATTTAGTTCATTTCTTCCTTTGTCTGGCTATCTGCTTGAGTATAATTGATGATTAATCCTCCAGTTTGCTTGTAAAGTATCTCTAAAAACCATTCATCCATTGATAGGAATTTGGGTTGTTCCTGTACTTGGCTTTTATGGGTGATGGGGTAAACAAAGTATTCATAGACCTCATTGAAGTCATATTTTCATTTCTTTTGACTGTATACTCAGAGGTAGTCTGATAGATCTAGTTTTAATTTTGGGGGTGAAACACTATACAGTTTTCCATAGTGGTTAGGCTAATTACATTCTCCTCAGCAGTGTGAAATGATTATCTTTTACCAGTGCCTCATCAGCACCTGTTGTGCTTTGTGTTCTTGATGACAGCTGTTCCAGCAGGTGTGAAGTAACCTCTCCTTGTGGTTTTGATTTCCATTTCCTTGATGATAAAAGATGAAATGCATCTTTCATGTGCCTATTGGCCATTTTGAGAATCTTTTTAGAAAGATATTTACTTAGCACTTCTACTCATTTATTTTATTATTTTGTAAAGATTTATTTATGGGATACAGGGCAGAAGTGCAAGGGCGGTAGAAGATTCAACAGTGACAGAGTGAGGAGCAGAACAGGCAGATTGATGAATCTGCTGAGGGGAGCAGCAGGCAGGTCAGGAGAGGTCTGCCACACCATGTGGGTCACCTCCCTAGCCTGGGATGAACTTGTGCTGAAGCGGCTGCAGCTAGCTTCACAGGGCTGTACTTTGGCTCATTATACCACCAGGGAGGGACCTCTACTCATTTATTAATTGGATTATTTGTTTTTGTTATTATGTTGTATATAAAATTTTATCTATATATAGAGAAAATTAATACATTTTATATATATATATATATATATATATATATATATATATATATATATATATATACACACACACACACATATGTATATATGATATTAACCAATAAATGGTTTCTAAAACTCTACCTTGTTGTTTTTGAAGCTTTGGAATTTGATGTAGTTCCATTGTTTATTTTGCTTTTTTGGTTTGTGCTCTTGGCTTTATGTTAAAAAAATCATTGTTAAGAAGATGAACTTCTGTGTTTTCTTCTAGGAGTTGTATGGTAGTAGGTGTTTAATTCTTTTATTTATTTTGAGTTTATTTTTGTAAATGATATGAGATGAGGTCAACTTTCATTGTCCTGTATTTATTTGCTTTTATAGTTTTCCCTAAATTATTGTTGAAGAGATTATCCTTCTCACATTGGTTGTTAATTAGTTCTCTTGGCAAATTTTAATTGACTATATGTGTCCATATTTAATTTTGGGCTCTCTGTTTTTTTCTGTTGGTTTTATATGTATTTTTATAGGCAGATAAAAATAGTACCACTATGGCTTGGCAGTATTGTTGCAGTATAGTTTAAAACCTGCAAGTATGTTAACTCTGTTGTTTTTCCTCAGTATTATTTTGGCCATTTTGGATCTTTGTAGTTCCATGCAAATTTTTGGATTGTTCAATTTCTGTGAAAAATGCCTTTGGTATTTTGATAAGGATTGCATTGAATCTGTAGATAATTTTGTGTAGTTTTGTCATCTTAGCAATATTAATTCTTCTGATCCACAAATGCAGACTTTTTTTTAAATTGGATTGTATCTTCTTCAATTTCTTTCTTCAAAGTCTTATGTAGATTCTGTTGTGCAAATCTTTCACTTCCCTTGGTTAAATTTATCCTAAGGGTTTTATTGTCTGGGTGCTACTGAAGATGGGGTAGTTTTCTTTGTTTCTTTTCCCAATGCTTAATAATTAGTGTAAAGGAGTGCCACTGCTTTATGTGGTTGGCATCATAACCTGTAACTTTAGCTAGATCTTCAATTGATTCCAACAATGTTTTTGACTCTTTGGGTTTATAACAATACTTTCTAAAATCAATTTCCTGGAAAAAGATCACATGTTTACATTACCTTTTTACATTTTACCTTTTATCATTATCGTAGAAAGTTAGCAAGATATTACAACTGGACATTTACAAATAGATTTTTCAAAGTTAAAAGTTTGTCAATTTTCTGATGCTATTGGATTTTGCATTTTACATTTTAGGAGTTTTTAGAGGCAATCCCAAACAAGTAAAGGAATATCAAGATCTTCTGACTCCAGTACTGCATCAGACCACAGAAGGTATAGTTGAAATTTTCCCCCAAATTCTTCCTGTATTTCTTTTATGCTGTTTTGAAGTATATAGGTGATTACTTTTTAAACAGACTAACTCATATTAAATTGAAAAAATGAATAGGTTCTCAAGTAGGGACTAATAAGGGGAATTTATTAGTTAAGACAGAGATAAATTCAGATGTTCATGGTGGTAATAATTACAGCATAGTTTGCCAGGTTGACAGAGAATTTCCAGTTTGCTGCCTACTGTGTAACTGCTTTTCCCTATGTATCATGAAAATAATGTAAGTGGCTGATTTTTATCCCGGTCCCTAGAAATGCTGTGTTCAGTTTAGTGCTGCCTTCTATAAAGTCTTTGACCAGCATAAAGGTACTAGCATTGCCAGTGACATCCGGCACCTCTCTGGAGTTGCGTATAAGACTTTTAACATGTTATTTTAAGTGTTTGTGCTGGAGCTTAAATGTCTTTGAGGATGGACTAAAGATTTTATAAATGGCCAGGGGACCAAGTCTTATGAGTAAGAGTATATTGATTTCATTTAAATACCAGCAGGAATCATAAAATAACCTAATTAATTTTTCTGTATAATAAAAATTAGTTCTCAAAAGAATTCCAGAAAAGTTGTGTGGGTTTAGAAGTATTAGTAAAATAAGAACTTAGCCTCATGAGAACATGATGGGTAAAAGACTGATGATGGGCTTAGAGATAAGTCACAGAAACTAGTAGTCCAGCACGGAGCCCCATTCCCAACTCTTAAGAAGTTTATGATATTGTCTTGGGTCTTCCACAAGTAAAAACTTATAATGTTAAAGTTGTGACATACGCATATAAGCACTGAATTCCAAATAGATATTACTTTTTTAAAGCAGTTTTTTATGACTGTAGGCCCCAACTAATCATTCTCCATTGTGAAATATAATGCAGTAATATGTGTTGTAATAAATATAATATTATAAATTCCATGCATCCAGTTTTGTTATGTTCAGTGGTAGGTTATTGCTGCATGGAAGTGGTAGTTTTGTAGTTTCTTGTACTGTTCTTTAGATTATGTGATGTTTACAGAGTGCTGTTCAAACTTGTCTTTACGCATCATAGACTTGTTTTTTAACTGGTTTGTAGACACAAATGGTTCTACTGGTTGTAGACACTATTGGTTGATGCATGAAAATAAATGAAATTTTAGGGGAATCTATACACTACTGATAGGAAAACTGAGTTTTCCTCAGCTGCCATTGTCAGACGTCCTCAGTAGCGCTCTAGTAGGCTACTGCCCCACCTCATGTCATCTTCAGTTAGTCTGCTCTTTAAATAATTTCCACAGGGAAAGAGGGATTTTTCTCCTCATGCTATTGAATGGTAGAAATTGAGCTTAATGTTTAGAATGAAGATTTCTTTGCTCTAAGCAGTGACGCAGGGTCCCAATTCTTCCCTTAAGATGACAGTTTTTCGCTTGTAAAGCTTCTGTAAACTAGCCCTATTAAAATAGCTTCTTTAATGGTTCTAAGTATTTGCTCACTATGTATTTGTTGATTCATGTTAGGGTGTTAAAATGTAATATTCTTAAAGGGAAATATGTACACATCTTGTCAAATTAGTGTTTTAAAGTCAAGATATTTCCACCTGTTCCATTTCCACATGTTCCACCGGCAGTTTTTGAAAGGAATCGAAATACCCACTTTTCTTTGTCCTATCAAATCTGTTACCTCCTTTCTCTTTCTGGGAAAATTGGATGATGGTACTGATTTCTTAGATTTTTAATATATATTTTTTAATTGTACAGGTTATCCTGTCATACCAAAGTACTATTATGTGCCAGCTGATTTTGTGGAATATGAAAAAAGAAACCCTGGTAGTCAAAAGCGATTTCCTAGCAATTGTGGCCGTGATGGAAAACTCTTTCTTTGGGGACAAGCTCTGTATGTTATTGCAAAACTTTTAGGTAAGTGGAGAGGTAGGGAATATTTTCCTCCTTGTTATCAAGTCACTAGAAATAAGTATGTATTTGCTGACATTCTTCTTGGATTTGGGTGGTGTTTCATGCTGCTAAGAAGTCTTGGGGTAGTTTCTTAGTATATAAAAGTAAATTATCTGTTCTATTTCACTGAATAATGACAGACATTTACTGGGAAGAAAGCAAAATAGTAATGGGTAGCATTATGATAATTTAGATGGTGGCATTCAGCTGAGTGTATATGTTTCTTCCAGAATTCCATGGAAACTTTGAGTTACATTTAGGTAGTATAATAAAATTCTGATTTATAATTATAACAGCCACATTTGTTCATAACTTTCCAAAGGGAATTGGTTAGCTGGTTACCTCAAAATTCTGTTTGCAGTAAGTACATATTTACAATTTATTCAGTAAACTAAAGGATTATTGGGATTGTTGTTTACAATTCTGTGAAGAATTAGTTTTCACTTTCTTTTAAAATTTCAAGTAACATTACTCTGTGGATATGTTGAAATTAAAGGTAATTTGTGAGCCCAGAAAAAACATTATACATCTTTCTGTACTACTCCTGGTTAAAATTTCATATATTATTACATTTTGATTGAGGAAAGTTATTATAAGAGGCTTCCCTGGTGGTCTGGGGGTTAAGTCTCTGTACTATTACCACTACAGCCTAAGTTCAATCCCTGGTCAGGAAACTAACTCACATATGGTGCAGCAGACCTCTCCTGTCTCACCTGCTGCTCCCCTTATTAGTGTATTTCAGTAAATCTGCTTGTTCTGTTCATCTCTCTGTCTCAGGTGAGTCCTCTCACCTCCCCACATCTCTGGTCTACACCCAGTTCTTCTACACAGAAAAAAATGAAAAAGATTTTTTAAAAATTGTTGCATATGTGGGACCCTCCCTGGTGGCACAGCAGGTTAAAGCACAGCACTAAGAAGCTAAAACCACTTCAGCATGAGGTCGATCCCTGCCCTGGTGGTGATCCACATGGCATGGCAGATCTCTCCTGACTTACCCACTGCTCCCCTCAGCAGTGTTCTTTGTCAGTTCTGCCTATTCCACTCCCCACTCTGTCTCTGATGAATCCTGTCACCACCACTGCACCTCTGGCCTATACTCCAGATCTGTATGCATAAATAAATAAATCTTTAAAAAAATTGTCACATATGTGATATGCATATAAAAAAAGAAAAACTATCATATTAGAGTCAGAATTCCTTTATGACAGATTAAGAAACAGACTGCTTATAAATATTATACCCACACTAAAACACCTGTTTTCTGTATGAAATTCTGTTATTGTTTTTGTATTACTGTGTAAATGTTAGGTTTGTTTGCACTGTAAGAGTAATCATCTTTGGATCTTTTTTACATTTCAATATGGAAGACTATCTTGAAATCCAGATTCTAATTCAAGTTTTACATAATGATATATAAATCCAGACAGAAATTAATCAAAAAAAGAAAATGTAAGTTAATACTGTTTATTATTTGCTTCTCAACTATTTCTTATCTTCATATATACTTAAATTCTAATTTAAGAATCTATATAAAATTTTTCTTCTTTTAAGGGGATATCTTTTTGATAGTAGGTGATATTATATATACAGATTTTGCTTTTAGGTTTTTATTTATATACTTCGTATATATGCATAAACTGAGAGAGGGAGTAAGAGCAAGAGAGTATGCTTTCATAAAATCAAGTCAAGTTGGGAAGGTTATCTATTGTTAGAGCATTTATACGAAAAAGTCTTGTTGATACTATTTTCAAATACATGAAGTAAATAAATAAAGATAAAGCAGACAACAATTTTACTGTCAGAACTCTAAGTTTCTACCTATTACACTTGTGAATTATATATGTGTAGGATGAAAGTTTTCTGTGACTCTGATTCTGAAAACTGGTACTTTGGCTCTGGGAATTGAAATCCAAATCTTCTTCATTCTGGGGTTTGTTTATTTTGTTTTGTTTTGCTATATATTCAGCCTGAGGTTGGTACAGCTAGAAAAATTGCTATCTGAGCAGTCTTTGGATAACACTGAGATGGCTAATGAATTGGGAGTACAGAATTGATGATGATCTACATATTGAGCTTCAAAACATAAATAAATATTGTCAGTCAGTAAAAATAGCATTAGAACTTTCTTACTCCAAAATAAATGTATTGAATGTACAAAGACTTTGACCATAGATAGCATTTTCTTATGTTAAAGTCAGGGTGAATAGAAATAGTACAGGTCATGACACAAAGGATTCAAAGACTGAATCAATCCCTCTTTGCTCCTCTGTGTTTGTGGAAGGGCAACAAGCGAAAGGTGTGTCACAAACTGTGATAACATATAAGTTTTCTTCTACTGAAAAAAGGAATGCTGTTTATCCATGAGTACTCTGACCCCACTATGTGTCTTCTGCGAATGAAGGTGCATACCATCCCCAAAGACTGAATCATTTAGTTACTCTTAACTCTAGTACCTTCCCCAAGAGCCATCAAACTTCTGTAGATGTTATTAAGATTCTAGACATCAGTTACAAAGTCTTATTTATTCATTACAGAAATCTCAGTTGAATACCAATTTGTGGGGAGCAAATCAGAGTTACATGTAAATATGAGAACAGCAAATCTTTACAATTATGTAATATTATAGCTTTTGCCAGTTCAGTCCAATTTGTATCTTATCTTACTGAATCTAGTAAGGATACTTACTTTATTTTATATATATCTTAGTGAAAAATGAGATAACAAAACTAAAGGACTTTATTCATCGTTAGAGGAAGAAAAGTTGAGTATACAGTTTCCTGGACAAGGGCCTGAATTACCTACTGTGTTCTTGGAAAATTATTAGTACACAAATTTTTTGTTTTAATTTCAAAAACTTTGACTTTTAGTAAATCAGTGTTTATTTTAAAATAGGTAAATAAATTTAAGTGTTTATTTTAAACCAGGTAAGACATTTTAAGGTAAAACTTTTGACTTGTTTTAGAATAAAATGATTATTAGTTATACCCTCAATTATTATTTAAAATTCGAAGTTTACATGGTTAGTATGGTTAGTTGGTAGAAAGTAGTGTATTTTCTTTGAGTACTTGGCAAAAATAATGTTAAAAACTATTTATCGCTTAAAAGTCACTTGAAAATCATGATCTTTGAATTGAAATTTTCTTGAGGTTAAGAAAACTAGAGAAATATAATGTACACTTATTATTAATTTTACTATTTCCACAAAGCCAATACTTCATCATAGTTTTTATTTATCATTTTATAAGAGAAATTAACAGTAGTTGTTTAGTCTAAATAAATTCTGATTTCTTGACATTCACTTGTCTTTTCCACATAGATGCCATACTCTTATCTTTCCTATTCTGTAGACATTCACAGTGGTGTCTTTCTCAGGTGCCTCCATAAGATCTCAGATCTTTACAGTTTTGAATAGAAGATATTTTTTCTGGACACATCTGCCTCCATTTCATTCTCTGGTCAGTCATTGTTTGGAATTTGTCAGTAAAAAATACATTTTAGGGGTTCTGGCAAGATGGCGGCAGAGTGAAGACGCTGTAATTACTACCTCCAAACTCACACAGAATTATAAGACTGAATATGGTCTGTGGTCTTACATACTGTGACTTTCAACCCAAATGAGAACATCCTAGACTCACTAGGAGGAGGATAACTGAAGGAGAATCAGCATTTGGGGAGAATCAGAGTTTAAGGAATTCCGATAGGGGAGCTCTGATCCGCTCCAGGAGTGACCAGCAACAGCGACCAGCAGCCAGAAGGAGACCTGCTTCCCTTCCCCACTTGGCCCACCCTGGAGATAAGGAGAGGCAGCACAGCGGGTGAGCAGAATTCCAGCTGCAAGGAAAAGCTGAAGCCCTGAAACCATATTGCTTGGGCACCCAGGTGCTAGGACCCAGGAGCTCACCCAGGCACTAGACGGAGACTTGCTTCCCTTTCACCCTTGGCCCGGAGATAAGGAGAGGCAGTGCAGCTGGGTGAGTGGAATTTAAGCTG